ATGTCTGGATGGTGCTGGTGCCCGTCTACTTGGGGAACAGCTTGTGTTCCTGCAGCTGACTCGAAGAGAGCTTCAATTAACAAATGCTATTAAAGTAGCTCTCCTCTTTATTTTATTTTTTTTTTTTAATGCATAGCATTTCCTGACAGCTTAAACCTTTAATTAACTGGAGATGCCATCGTGGAAACTTTGCTAGAGAAGAATGCTTGTGGTTTAATTAAAAAGAAAAAAATCCTTTATAGGTACTGGAAGAGATCTGCTTACGTCTTTAATAGTGGCAAAAAGCCTGCAGGAACTCTTCCATTTCCCTTTCTGACTGCAGCAGTAGGTGAGGAGGTGCAGAGCAATATCATCACCCAAGAGGAGAACGTGAGTGCTTCACAGCTTCATGTTTGACCCTCCAGTTTAAACTGCAGATGTAGAACAAGCTACAGTTCTGTTACCTCAGCAAGGGAAAGGAGACAGCCAACTATAAAGTTTTTGCTTTTTTAAAAAGAACTCTAACTTACAATTCTCTTGGTATTAGGCCAGAGCTGCCTCTAACATTTCTAGTCTTCTCTAAGGGCACACAGGGAGAACATTGTTCACATAAGCACTGGTCTGGTTTTTTTTGGCTCCCATTACAGCACAAAAGCAAAGGCAGAGCTTACCTGGAACAGAAATGTAGAATACAGTTCATGGTACCTGCAACAACCTTCATGGAAGCCTCTTTTTGAGATGGCAGGGTACTGCCTGAGGTGGCAGAGAGCCCTCGCTGCTCTTCACAACCCTGAGGGTTGTGTGTGATGGTAGCTGTGGCAGGGAACCACCAGTTCAGTACACACTTGCACCCTTGCAGCAACTTGCCACAGGGCCAAGGCACGGCAATGTCAAGTGGTGCAGAGGTGGCAGACCCCCAAGGCAAAGCAGCAATTTGTCCTTCCTCCTTGGCAAAGGACTTGCTGGCTTCTCCCCTTCTTCTCCCCACATTGACTTGATTAGGAACAGATCAAGTGTCCCAGAGGCTTTTTAAACTGTTAGAGATCCGAAAAGGAAATTTTGTTCCAGTATTAAATATACACCTGGAAAAGTCACTGACATGACTGTTCACATTTGAAGCACAGCTCCACCCCTAGAAGAATATCAAATGGTTTCTGAGTCATCTCTGGGAGCAGGTTGGGGCTGTTGGGGTGGTGCCTGGGCCAGGGACATGTGCTGGCCTGCTCTCCTGAAGGCTCCGTACCCACACTGCCACCTCAGCTGCTGGGTGACAAGGGACAGCTGGGCTCCTTCTGAAACATGCCAAAGCTCAGAACTTGCCAAAATAGCTATTTGGGAGCAGCTTGATGGGCTCTCCCTCCTCTCCTGGCCCTGTCTGCAGCATGGTTAAATTCAGTGAGGGTAGCACACCCTCTTACAGGGATGGGAGAGAAACTTCTGAATGAGCTTCTTTCCTTAAGCCTGGAGCACAAACCACATTGACCACTTAATGAAATCCATCACCCTGTATAACCACATATTACCACCCTGACCCTTTCAAAAGCCGATCTCTCTTTTTTGCAAACAAACATATTCTTTCTGATATATCTGCTACTGCAAGCAGCACCTCTTCTTGGGGAGGGTGCACTGCCGTGAACAGCAGTGAGAGCTGGGCTGCCCCGAATCACTGACTACACCAGATCCTCCCCTGGCAGTGGACCTCCATGTCCTATAAGCGCCTTTTCAGCCAGAACTCAGCAAGCATGCTCCACCTTCAGATGAGACTCCTCAGCATCCCAACTCTGGGTAGATTTTGATCCTTTTCTCTGACCATTTCCTGAATGTATATGTTTAAGCCTGTTTCGACTTTCCCAGAACAAACCACGGAATTAGTTGTGATCCTCTTGAAAAAGAAGCATGTTTTTTCTCTATGGATGGCGTATCAGATGTGAACCAAACTCAAACTCAGGAGTATTCCTAGTAAAAACTGCACTGAAGCACTGACAAGCTGGTTTGTAGACTTGGTGAGATTAGATTCCCTTGAAATGTTCTTTACAGGTGCCCTTGAAATAGCAAGGAGAGCTACTTTCCTCTACCACCCTTTCCTCAGAGGACCCCAAAGGGCTATCACCTGAAGCTGTGATTGTGAAGAGTCCCCTTTCCACTCAGAAATTATTTCCTATTTTTGCTTTCGTGAAAGAATCACTTTCATCAGCTTTTCAATGCTGATACCAACAAATGCTAACCACCCATTTCTTAGACTGTTTTTTTTCTGCCTCTGTCTGTACTGCCCCTAAATTCTTCTCTGTTGAAAACAGGTAATATATTATGGACCTCACTTGTGGAACATCTGAGTTTGGCAGATTTAAAATTAGAAAAATGGGAAAGATATGGGTCAATAATACAAGAGAAGATTTTTTTTATTACAATGTTTTTAATGCAATTACAGTAGGATTTTTATATGAGTCTCTGAAAGTCTATGACTTCAAACAACTCTGAACCTACAGATTTGTATTCTTGCCTTATTCTTGGTTAAATAGCTGTTGCCATCATCTGCTTGATATACTATCTGTCTCAGAACACAGGCACACAGTCAGGAGGAATATACTTCCTTGGAGACAGTATGTATTACTAGAGCTCCTCGAATCTCTTGCCTCATCACGGGACACCTGCATGGAGTGGGGATTTGTTCAGTATCCCCCTCCTCGCTGGAGTGGCAGCAGTGCCGGCAGGGAAGCGCCAGGCCTTTTCCCGTTCTCTGCGGGGCACAGCAGGCTATCCATCATGGCACCAAACCCTGCCAGTGAAGCTTTCCCTCAGCAGAGGGAGTTGTTTCTCAAGGTAATAAGAAACCATTATCTGATTGCATTTTTGTCAGGTATGTCCTATTTATTACCTTACCTGTAATCTAATTTGTAATGTATTTCCCTGATATTTTCTATACTTCCCCCCTATATTTTTTCATAACTTCCACTGAAAGTCTGACCTACAAAAAAGACAAGGTTTTTAATCCAGCTTTGAATGATAACACCCTCCAGGTGCCTTTATCTGGAAAAGCTCTCCTAGCACAGAGGGAGGTCTGCTAGGAAAAGCTCAGCACCCTCTGCAAATGTGTTGGGGGAACACTGAGTAACAGCAGCCAAGGTCGCTTTGTCCCAGGCCAGGAAAACACCAGTGGCTATTTTCTACTTGTGGCAAGATGATCTTTTTGGTCAGAAAGACATTCCTGAGCCAAAGGAGATACGTGGGAGGCAACAACGAGTCTGACCAATAGCTGAGGCGGGCACAAGGTAAGAAGACAACTACAGACTACGTGAAAAGCACCACTGATGTGCCTCAGCTGCTGAAAGCTGTTCAGGTGTTCCACTTTAGCTGTTAAGAGAAAGCGTAAGGCAACAGTTTGGGGAACAGAGCAGGCCCTGTAGGTCCTAACTAGGTTGAGCAGAGATGTCTCATGGTGGCAGAGTGTGATGGTCCAACTACCCTGAATGTGGGGCTGAGGAACATTAATCAGCACAACAAGTGAACCATGGGAACAGGTTGCATTTTCAGGCTGATGTGGGCTTCCCATGCGGCATCAGGCTGGTGGCTCAGCAGGGCATGAGGGTTTTCTGCTCTCTTCCCACCTGGTTAATTCTGCTCCTGCCTGGCTGTGCTACTGCCACTGCTGTAAAACAAAGTTCAGCCTAAGCCTGTCTGCTAGACCTGGATTTCCTCATTCTGGTAAAGGTGTTTCAAAGTCACACAGCTTTAAAACAAAGAAAGAGAAATGTCCCTTCTTGTGGATGCTAATGAAATTTTTATCTGGGCATCTTTCTGTGAATGTTGGGCCTGAGAGGCATGGATTATGTTAGGGGAGAAGGGCTTATGGAGCCCTGGAAATAAATCAGAGGAGGACAGAGGATGAAGATCACAAATGATAAATTAGCAAGTGACAGAAAACAACTGCAGGAAATAATAAAACCAGGAGCAGTGTGTGGGAAATGCATAGGAGAGGTTGTTTACAACATGTGCATCGGACTTTCCAGCATTTGACATCTTATCTCCATTTCATTCCATATGTTACTCTACGCATGGTTTCCTGTTTTTATGGGGTTTGTTCTATAGTTTTTGTACTAACATGAATGACTCACATCTGCTCCAATACTTAATTTATTCTCTAATGTCTTTTGCAAGGCTTTGCTCAGATTGTGCAATACTTGTCAGTGGTAAGATCCGAAGAGCAGTGTCAGGCAGGTGAGCAGGGATAGCTGCATGAGGCAGCTCATTTCTGAAGTCCTACTCTGTTGTGGTGGTGGTGGTTTTTTCCCTTTAGCAAGGTCTGTAATTCCCACTTTGGCTGCCCTGTGTGGACAGGCCTGCTGTGCTGGGGCTGTGTATGGAGCCAGCAAGGAACATCCCATGGGACAGGGATGACAGCTGAGGGCCATTCCTGAAGGAGACCACGGCCTGGCGCCAAGCTGCTGCTGGCATACCAATAGCTGATGATTATGATTTTATTTTTTAAGTGTTCTTGACAGCTCCGGAGACTCACATCGTCTCTTCCAAATCCAGTAATTAAATTCCACCTACCTGAAATCCCCCTGCTGTTTCAATTGGTTAAATTAATCTTCTCATCATGTCTGAGCCTCCTCTGTGTGTTGTTGAACGGTGGCCTCCCCTCGCCCCGGAGCCGGGCGACGACCGGGACGGGGACCTCGACAGACCTGGGCCAACTTCGCAGCGGCGCAGCCCAGCCCCGCGCATCCTTTCGCGTGGAAGTGGCCCGGACCCACTCACGGTGCGTGGGAGAGAGATGGGCGTCCCCGATTATACACACACGTGTGTGTGTGTGTGTGTGTGTGTGTGTGTGTGTGTGTGTGTGTGTGTCCCTCATATCTTCCCCCCCGGCTCCGTGTCTCCGTCCCCAGGAGCTGCCTCCCGGACAGGGAGCGGACAGGGCAGCGACTCCCCCGGGGTACCAGCCCGCCGGTCAGCGCGCCGCACCTTTCCCCGGCGAGCGGCTCCAGCTCCAACCCCCCTCCTCCCGGCACCTCCTCCTCTTGTTCCTCCTCCCCTCCCCTCCCCTGCAGAGCATGCACAGCCCGGGACTCGCATCGTCGGCTTCGAGGCGGGCGGGCGAGACCCTCCTCCCCGACTAGCCCCGCTCCCGCTGCCCCCGGAGGCGCCCGCGGCTCCCCCTTGCCTCCTCCCTGTCCCCCCGCCGGACTTTTCCCTCCTCCGAGGATGAGGCGGCCGACGCGGCGGCTGGCGCTGTCTCTGATGGGGGTGCTCTGGCTCGCCGCCCTCCTCCTCTTCTTCTTCGGGGCGCGGAGGAAGTTGGAGGCGACGGAGCCCGAGGGACACACGCCGGAGGTAAGAAAGGAAGGGGCGGCGGGGCCGGGGCTGCTCCGGCGGGACTTGGGCGCGACGCCGCCGCTGCCCGGGGAAGAAGTTCCCAGCGGTTTTCGGGACCCCATCGCGCTCCCCTTAAAGTTTGGTGCCGGCTCTGTGCCTGTGCGGCGGGGGGGGGGCGGTCTGGCCCTTTCCATACCCTCCCGGTCGTGGCCCACCCCCCCCGCCTGCCCACGGTCTCGGATAGCGGCAGCCCCAGCCGCCCTCCCGCCCCGCTCCACCGGGGGCTGTCGGGGCTCCCCCGGCCGCGGGTGCCGCCGGCGGTGCCGACCCTCTGTCCCGCCGCCAACTTCGAGCATCCCTCGCTCCGGACCCTGGGGAGCGGGGACACCGGCGCGTCCCAAGAAAACGAAACGCGTGGTTTGTTCACGGGTGGGGTGGGGAACCGGCGACTCCTCTACCCTGTGGGTCATGCCGTGTTTCCGAGCTCTGCCCCAAAGACGAAGGGCTCGATCCTGTCCCCGGGCTGACGGGGAGCAGACGGCGAGCACTCAGGTGGTCTGTGATTGGGGTACACGGGCTGGCCGAGTCCGGTTAAACCGCTGCGGTTTTTCGTGGCTGGTTGTGATGGAAGTGCTAGACACGGGCAGGATGCTGCCCTGTGAGTCCCAGCCTGGGTGGAAAGAGGGTGCGTTTGCAATCGCGCCTTTCTGTGTCATGTTTGAGTCCCCGGAGTGCACCGGAGTGACAGCACGGGAGAGATGAGAAGAGCATCTCGCTCGACACAGCGAGTGCATCAGAGGAGTTTTGCTGCCCAAACGCTGTGAAAAGCAGGGGACCTGCGAGCAGCTTCGGCTGAAGGAGGTCCCGTGTCCTCTGCAGGTCCTGTGTCCTCTCCCAACGGCTGAGAGCTGCTGGGGCTTAGCCGAGGGTTAACTTTCCAAAGGACAAGGATTAAATGCTGCTCTTAGTTGTACTGTGTAAATCTTGAATTAGTTAATCTGGGTTAGAGCCCAGATCCTGAAAATACTCTGAGATTAGGGTTACTGTGGCAGAGTGCGAGCCCCCAGCCCCCTTTTTGCACCAGTGACACCCAACAGCATTCAGCCTGTGACTTGTGACAGCTATAAGTGTTCACCACATCTTTGTAGAGTCTCTTATATGTGTCTGTCACCTCTGCAACTGAATTAACGACCTGATTGGAAAAAAAAGTCAGAACTCATAAAGCTTACTTTGATTTTTCATCCTGAGGAATTATTGGTTTTCCATGTTTTTTAAATAAAAATGATTGAAGAGGGTTTTTTTCAGCCTTTCAGAAATCTTTCAATCCTAGCAGAGGGGAATGAATCTATGCAATTTCAGGCCCCAAAAATAAATAGTAATATATAAATTTATTTATTTATTTAAGCGGGGGAAAGGCAATAAGTCACTGAAAGCAGAGCTAGAGGACAAGTGCTTTCTTAACTGTAACCAGGCTTTGGCATCAGTAGGTTTCTATCAGAACTGCATTCTTAAAAATTGCAAAAGAAGACCTCCCCTATATGATGGGGGGCTCCTATATTCTCCTTGAAATGAACCTTGCTTCTTGGTTAGTACCAGCTGCAGCTGAATTGCTGCCATTTTGCAGCCCATTTGACTCTGCTCCCACTCGAAGCTCCCCCGACCTCAGGGTGCAGGTTGCTTATGCTCTTAGGGGCCAGTCTTGGCTCCTGCAGTAGGTGAAGTGAACTTCTCCCATCAGACAGGATCAGGCCCTGAGTTTCGAAGCTGCAACTGCCAAGTTACCATAACTCCACCAATTTGACTGCTTAAATTGCCTCTCCTTCATTTCTTCTGAATTTTCCATCAAAACACTTGCATCCCCTGGAGATCCATAGAGTGCAGATTCTTTTTTGTTTTTTAATGCATTGCATTTTTTGGCTTTGGAAACTGCTTTTGAGCAGTATGACTTGTAAGTTGCTTATGAGCATGGGGATGTGGTGTCACTCCAGTTAACACCTCTGAAAGGCTGCAGAGCTGACTTGGTAGGAGAGACAGGGATGCTGCAGTCCAGAGAGGAGCCTGGTGGTGTGTCCCATTGCCCTGGCTGGCGGGACTGGCTGCCACAGATGAAAACTTGAGCAGTTAAAGAGTTGTCCTCTCAAACTCGTAGAAAAACAAGAGGAGGTGGAAGTTGCTAACAGCAGTGCAAACATTGCCACAGAGCAAATCCACATAAACTTCCCTGGCAGCATTTTCCAACATGTTCCCCCCCCCCCTCCCTGCTACTGCTCTCTCAGTTGAGCTGTATTTCTGTGAACATATGCCCACTATATATCGTGCCTCATGTAGATTTAACCTTTAGACCTTTCTTACTTAGGCTCCAACTGGTAATGCTGCCTCCTGCCCATGCCTGTCTCCTGGCAGGGCTCTTGGCACACATCCAGTGCTGGGAGGCCAGAGTGCCCAAGCTCCTGGCTGGCTGTGGCATGTTGGTGGCTTGCCAAGGGCCAACAGAAGAGCTGCTGCCCTTGGCTGTGCGGGTGCCATCCATCACTGTTATTTGTGGTTCTTTTCCCCCCCTTCCTTAATCCCAAATCCTGTGCAAGATCTGGGCCTCAGCTTCCCAAAGGAAGGCTTGTGATGCTTTTCTTATAGCTGGAGAATCCAATGTTGGAGTAGGCAGAGTCTCCAAAGACCAGGACCTTGGTGTGAGGGTCTGATGCAGTTTTTGAGTCCTTACTGCACTGGAAACACGCTGCTGGCTTGTCATTTCGTGGTCGCAGTGGAGGCAGGCATTCGGGGCAGGTCTAACAGTGCTTTGGGAGCTTTCCCAAGCTGCTCGTGCCTGAAGAGGTAGGCACAGCCCTCTATTGTAATTAACTTGGCTTCACCTCCCCAGTTGTGTTTTTTTGGTTTTTTTTTTCTCTATTCCCTTGTAATCCATCCCTGTGGATCTCTTGCTGCTGCCTGGTGGCAGGCAGGCTTAGAGGGCTCCCCTTTTTGGCAGCCCTTGCTCCCCTTAATTCCTGTCACTTCTTTCCCCCCTCCTTCTTCCTGCTGCCTGCAGCTGCTGGTGGTATGTGCCAGAGTGGTGGGAGCAGGTTGAGGCTGGATTTTAGGGTGTGGGACTCCCTCATGTCTGTGGAGTGTAGTAACCTTGCAGTACTGGTAGGGTACGGAAGAGAATCACTCGCAGTGTTTGGGACCATGAAATTGTTCCTGGGTCAACTTCCCCTCCGGTGCTGTTTTTACTGCTGTCGCTTGAGGTTTGGGGATTGTTGGGGTTTTTTTTTGCTTTTCCAAAGGGCAGATCAAGCCCTATTACTGCTGTAACTCTTGTCCTTTATAAAGTCCTGTGACTTGGCTGGGAAGAGGAGCCATAGGAGTGTGCCTGCCTCTGCCAAGGAACCATTACCCTCATGGCCCGGCCGGGTGCCTGGTTAGCAACCATGGACTCAGCCTGCGGGGAAGCAGAGTCTGATGGATGAGAGCGTAAGGACGTGGGGCTGGTTGGGGTCATGGATCAGCTGGGACTTGTTGATGCCTTCTGCCTTCCCTGCCTTTTGGCAGAGGATTTCAAAATACTTTTCAAGCTTTAATTAGTTCCAGCCCGTCTCCTTGTCCCAGCAGTTTTCCGGCTGGATAAACCAGGACCCAGAGAGGCTAATTGAACTTTGTATTCTTGTGGGTCTTATTGACCCCAGAGGAATTGGAATCGTTCAACCCTCTTGGAAAACCAGGCAGCCAGTGACCCCCCTGAAGTCACACAGGGAGGAGGTGGTGTGGCTTGGCATGTGCTCTGGTAATCCAGGCTACTGCCTGGCATCTCCCCTGCCTCCCTCTGATAAGTCCCACTGCTCTGCTTTGGGAGGGGTGGGGGGGTGAGGGAACATGCAGGCTAATAACTTAATTACATTAAGGAATAATGAAGGGAACTGATACGAGGGATTAATTACAAGCAAAATCCCAAATTAATCGTGAGGAGTACGTGTAGCTGGCTCTGCAGCGATGTTTTGCTAGTGTGCTGCTCCTGTGCCCTGTGCCAGGCTGTGGCTGTGTGGCCCCGGGGGATGCTAATAAGGGAGCAGGAGAGGAGTAGGTGGCTGACAACCCCTTGGTCATCTCATCTCCTCCACCTTGTGAATCGGTATCAGACCACAGTGGGATGTTGGCTGTATAGCAGAGCCCTGCAGCAGGGAGGGGTTGGCAGGGAACTGGGCTCCCTTGCTCCGGGCCACCAGTGTGTGCGGGGGGGCCCAGGAAGATAGTTTTTGTTGGGTTTGGGGTTTTTATTTTTCTTCATTCCCTCCTGCATGCTAGTTTGCTCCCTCTGATGGATGGCTAAAGCACAGCTGACAGCCTCTGGAGGGAAAGTGAGTCTGTCACGGGCTTGATTGCAAGAGAAAAGCTACGGAGGAAAAGTTTCCTTTATTAAAAAAAGTGACCTGTTATGCTTGACTTGTAGTAGTGTTTGCAGTGCAGCAACTCCTTTCTGATTGTGCTCAAGTGCAGCTGGGGGATGGCTCCTGGGAGATGATGAGAGGCTCAGCACCCTTGCTGCCTACTCCAAGTGCTCTGGGGTGCTCAGCATCCTGCAGGGTCAGACCTCAATGCAAAGGAACCCTTGCCAGCTTTGTGCTTGTGTGTCTTGCACCAGCCTGCATTTCCTTCTGCATCGTCGCCATCTAGAAAGCCTCAGCACCTGGAATTCAGTTGACAGTCTCTAGATATTAAATTCCTGTCAGTTTTATAGCAGCAGAGCCACTTAACAGATTAAAATAACTGTGTATCCTGCAGAAATTCAGATCTTGACAATTAAGGGATTGAAGTGGCAAAGCTGTCGGGAACAAGAAAAAAAAAGCAGTGTTAAGTACCTAGGAAGCTTGTGTTGACTGGGGCTTGGGGCTTGTCTGGGTGCATGGATAGGTCCAGGATGTGAGAGAAGGGGAAACTTCTGTCATGCTTTGCTGCTGAAATCCCACCCTGAAATCTCTAAGAGCAAACTGAGGCTTTCTAGGATGTGCAGTGCTTTGGTGATG